CTAATTTAGTTTTAATTTAAAGTGTTTTCCAAAAATAATAAATTGAAAGAAAAGCAAAGATATGATAAAACATATAAGAGAGTGAAAATATATAATGAAATATAGAAATTATAATAACCATATGAACGTCAAAAACACAAATATAGTCGTGGACATGATTTCCAAATAATGAATAAACCAATGGCTGTTACCAATGGCCAAAAATGAGTAAAATTAACCTGTGTTAAGAATTAAACGTGAAAAATAATATAATAATTAAATAGATATTAAACAACTGCACACATAATGTGATAATAATAATAACGGAATAATTAATAATTCAAGACTTGATTAATAATGACTGGAATTTTTAAAAACTAATTCATCTCTAAATACATATAAAAAGCTTAGACTAAGAACACACTCAAGAAGTGAGAAATAAAGTAATTGTGTTTTTCATATCCCAATACATCGTTTGACAGATATTTCTCTCGAAAACATATAAAACCATTAATTTTAAGTCAAACCGTAATTGTTTGCATTATTTACGTAAAAATAACTTTTGATTCAATAATAATAAGTAAATTAAATGAGAAAACCATTGACTCAACGAATGAAAGGCAAACAAACAGAAAATGAGTTATAATATCAGTGTATGGCTTAATCACCAAATATTTGATACAAGTGTTGATACGGGGCTTTGGTTGCAGCTATTGATGACATGTTATAGCCATAGGGAGGGACGGCCTGTCCGGCGAACTGCAGTGGCATTGCAGTGACCGTTGAGGGCGTCTGTTGTATGTTCTGTATGTGGGCCGGCAGTGGATGACTGGCTGTGGGCGCGTAGCCGACAGTTGTCGTCACATTAGAGCGCGTACTGTTGTGGTGGTGATGGGCCGGCGGTGGGGCCGGCAGTGACCCCACTGTTTGTGCAAAGGGTCCGCTTTGGGGTGCGTTCGGTGCGATCACATACTTCTGCTGTTGGGCTATATATGGCTGACTCAGGTTAGACGTCACGTAGACTGTCGGGTGACAGTAGTCTCGGTACAGGTCCCCATTGGACGACCCGCTCAAATACAACGACTGACCCATCGGTTGTACGGGCGACAGGTGTGGGCCCGACATGTGATGGTGACCCGCGTGTCCGGAACGACAGTTTCCATTCGCTCTCTATTGTAAGACAATGACAATTTAATCAGATTTATGACATATAATAATGTCGTAAAATAAATGTAGTTGTGCAGTTTAGTTTAGATATTTAATGTACAATAGTGTACAACATGAGCCCTGTGAGTGTATTGATATAAATTGCGAATATATTAAATACAGTACATTATCATCTAATTTAATACTCAAATCTCTCAGACATTTAAAAAAGGAAATTCAAATTAATTTCGTGACATACACTTTATTAACTTATCTAAAAATCTCGTTTATAATGTGGTTATATACTGCATATGCAGTCAAACACAAAAGGAGTCATTCTTTATAAGAAAAATATTTTCATCATTTTTTGATTGATTAGTGGTTTGATTACAAAATATTATCATAAAAGCTGTTTTTCTCAATAAAGAGATGCAAACCAAGTGATTATCAAAACAAAATAAATGAGGGAATCGTCTGAACGGTAACTATTTTAGCAAATAACGAGTGCTAGGAGTAGATAATAGCAACAAAATTGCAATTATAATGTGTGTCACGCAATGAATGATACAATAACTCCATTTCATATAAATAGCTAATTTATATAAATAGAGATCTCTTGAAATCTAACGGGTCTTATGGCATGGATTCATACGATTGCAACCATTTCTAGTAATAGTCATCAATCCATTGAATGCCTTCATTTTCGCAGTAATAGTCAAAACCATAAAAACAAAGCCATTTTGTGTACAAAAACATGAGTTTGTAATAAATATGCAATAATAGCAGTGATTACGATCACAACAAGGGGTGGTAATTACGCTAACAATTGGCACAAGAAGTGTGTGGCATTATATGAAATAGTATCGATTATTAGGCATACCCTGTTAGGACTGACAGCACATTTGATGAGTTTCTCGCCCTCCAAGTTCTCGAGCTTCGAGTGGCGAACGTATTGTGCATTGAGAGCGTCGTTGTAACGTCTGTTGGAACTGTTGTTGTAGAAGGACTGGGAGTTTAGATAATTGACTCGACCGGTAAGCGAGTCCTCGTCCTCACTGGACACCACCTCCTGTTTGGTTTGTGTTGGTATCGAGAAGTGGGGGTCGATTCGGATCTGCGGTATTTGTTTGAGGTTCTGGAGGTTCTGGAGGTGCGCCTGTTGTTGCGCTTTCGCTAGTAATCTCTTCTTTTGGGAGGCGTTCGTCATGTGATTCATGTGTGCTTTGGAGACATCAGTCAACGAACTGCTCAATGAGTTGTCTTTTTGTGGCTCAGGTTTGATAAGTTTAGACATCACAGAGTTCGTGAAGTTAGGCAACGGTCGTAGAGGGCTGTGGTGTCCCTCCGAGTCAGAGTCGGGTAATGTGAAGCAGTTTATGTCAATCCTCGGGTTCTTCGTGATGGCCGACGACGACAACGAATGACTTAATCCACGATTCGATTGAAGCCGAAAGTTGTCGAATACGGCCGAAGAGGACTTCATTGGCGTCGAGTTGTGACTGGAAGGCGCGCCACTGTATGGCACACATTCATCCGGGTCTTCGGGTGTTAGCGCCAACACACTCGCACAGGTGGTCGACACTGAGTTCGTTTGCGATAACATAGGCGTCGGCTTTGATGTCACGTCCAGTTTGACGGCTGTGTTCTTATAGCTATTCATTCATAATAAACACACATTCAGTACCACTGTATTCATCTCATATTGTATTCAAATTTAGTTCATTTAAATTGTGTTGTAAATGAAATTGAATTTAAATTAAATAGCTTATATTAAAATCAATGTAATTTATTGTGTAATTACTAATTACTATTGTTTGTCAAAAAAATAAAAATAAAAAGATTTACTATGCTTTACTATTGTCCAAATTGCTAATCAAATTATATAATTAAATACACAAATAGTGAATCCAATACTACTTTAAACCAATTTATAATTTACAATCAGATAATATGAAACTTCATTTGTAATCAGAATTACGTCCCATATATAGTCATCATTTAGTATGAATTTTGAAATAATTTAAACAAAACACAAAACATGAGCCAATCATTGCTTACCAGAGGGGCGACTGTTCGTTGGAGTCTTCGGAGTCACTTATAGTGATAACAGAGACGGCTGGCGAAGGCGTGTCCTCTATTGTAATCGTTTGGTGTGTCTTAAGACTGGCGTTGCGAACGATTGACGCCTTTTGGAGGTTTTTGTTCTCGTCGGTGGCATTGGGGGTGTTGTCGTTAGAAGTGCACAGATTTATTGAACCGCCATATCCTGACTCGACGTGTCGGCCCAACAGCGAGTCCTGCCATTTGGGAGGAGAGGACTCTTTGACGCGTTTCTTAACGGGAGACAAATGCTCTTTGGATTTCATGGACTTTGTCTGTAACGATGTGCCGGTGTTTCGCTTTGAACTGGAAATGGCGGCCAGAAGAGAGGCGTTGTGCGCCGGCACCAGATTCGGATTGGAGGCGTAATGGGACGACTGGTGAGCAGTGGACGGCTGTCCACACGCCACTACACCCCACGGCGCGCCCACTCCCGAGAAGGCGGTTGTTTGTTGTTGTATTAGATTTCGTTCGTTTCTCAAGTGGTCATAAACGGACGGGTCGTGGAATTCCATCGGCAGGACAGCCGTTTGGTCCGGAAGTATAGCCGTTCTCTCCAATACCAGCGAACGACTCCAGGCATCCGAGTCGGACAGTACAGCAGCTGTTGGCTGTTGCATACGACCTCCCGCTGCCGTCGAGAACTGTTGCCATGTGGTGGGAACGGCTGCAAACATCTGTCTATTCGTAGGCCATCCCGACTGAACGGCTGCATTGGTTAACAGCATTTGGCGACCATTTTGCTCGACAACCGAAACGGGAACGTATTGTTGAGTTCCGGCCACTTGTGTGAGAAGTGGTGGTTGCAGTTGGACTGTCTGCGACTGTGCCGCCTGAGCGCCAGCCACTGCCGCCGCCATTGTCATCACGTGTTTGGCTGGAGAGTTCAAACTTTGATAGGCACCGGCAGGACATAGGATCGAAGCGTACTGTCCAAAGGGATCACTATTGGCGGCAACAGCTGCAGCCCTGGCGGCCGCCGCCGCGTACTGATTGGCCGCCCGAGCGTTGCTCTGATTGTTTGAAAGACGAGACGCGGTCTGAGATGAGGTAAGAGATGCGGCGCTCGGGTAGAAGTTTGCCGGATGTAACTGATAGGCAGTGTTGGACAGACCCGACAGTTGGTTATTGAACGAAAGCGTCACATTTCCAGACGACGTGAAGTTATTCATAATTGTCGTCATCTGATGATTGCTGTTGTGATCGTAGTTGGCGTTGGCGCTGACCGTTCGTCGGCGACACACTTCCATCATTTTGACGGACGACTGCACGTTAGAGCAGTGGCCGTATTCCGCCAGATGGTTCAGTGACACGAAGTTGTGATTGAGAGCCTCGCCGGGAGTGATGCGTCTCTCCTGATCCAGAGTCAGCATCCGTTTCAAGAGGTCGATGAACTCGCGTCGGTCGGCCTTCTCGGCGAGCAGTTCCGCGCCCTCGAGGTCTGTGGGGACGTTCACCTGTGCCATGTCGTCCAGACAGTTGAAGATGTATTTGCGCGCCTCTTTCGACTTGATGTTCGTCTCGGACTCGTGTTCGTCCGGATTCTTGAGTCTCCAAAACGGGTAATTCGAGTCCGTTTCGCGGTAGAAGAAACGGGTCGTTTTGGTCGCCTGATTCAGCATATGCTCGTTGGGTAGGCCTTGCGTTTGACTGATGTACCGGATTTGGTCGTACTCTGAGGACCCGGGATATAGGGGCCAACCCAGGAATAGTTCGGCGATAACACAGCCCAGACTCCACATGTCTATCGCTTCGCTATAATTACAAAATTTAATTAGATTTCATGTAAATGCGAGTCGAGTGGAAATGTAGGCCAAAACTCACCAGAAGGGAAGGCCTAATATAATCTCAGGGGCTCTGTAGTATCGGGACTGGAGATAAGTAGAACAGACAGCTTTGCTTATGTGTGAAGCACTCCCGAAATCAATCACTTTGACGCTATTAATGAAAAAAGACATTCAAGTAATCATTAAATGAAATTCAGTTTAATTTGTTAAATGAAGCAAAATATTAAACACATACCGAAATGGGTGGCGAACGGGATCGCAAAGCATTATATTTTCTGGTTTAAGATCGGCGTGAATCAGTCCCAATTGCTGTCAAACATACAATACATTTATCATTAATAATATGCTAATCAATAAATATTTATTATTTTATTATAAAATGTAAACATAACTTTAATACAGTAGCTTTCAAATAATCATTTGTCTTTAAAATTTAATTGAAATCTTATTGTAAAACTCATTATGAAAATCGAGTCATTGACGGCAACTCATAAATAATAAAATAATAACAATGAGTATTGAAACAAAATGCTATTAAATTCAATAACAAATCATGTTATCGACAAATCAATTGCAATTTAGTATTGAGGGCCACATAGACTATATAAAAACAACAATTTCTTTCTCTATATTTTGACATTCATTTATAGTACTGCATGTTTTATATGCATTCGCTCGCGCTATATCAAAATGTGTGACATAATAAATAGCAATAGTAATGCAATGGTCGATTATATCAAAAGCAAAACTGTGTTTCAATGAAAGCAATTAATGATATATGGATTTAATCGACTGATATTATAAGTCAGTCTGAGATTTGCCTATGAATTAGTTTCACTCATTTATAAAACGAGTTGTCTATTAGTTCTCACAATGGGACTAAAGTTAATGTCAAAAGTCGAGCAAAAACTCTCATTAGAAATCACGTTACTTTAGTCTTATATTAATTGCAAACATAGACAGACGAGGGAAGAGAAATCTCTTATAAATGAAAAAACTTAAAAAAATAATCAATCGATAAGACAATGAGACATACCTTGAGTTTTAGCAAAGCAGTCAACACTTGTTGGAGAATCGGACGGATATACTTGAGTGGAAGCGGACTAAACTTGTTTTGTTTGAGAAAGTCATACAAATTCTGTTCCAACATTTCAAACACAAGACACGTGTGGTTCTTATGCGTGAAGCACTCAAACGCGCGAACAAAGTTCCACTGAAAAGACAATTCAACGACAATTTGGTAAGCATTTGCAGCAATGGTTAGGACGAGTGGTCAACACATACCTCGTCTGCATTCTCTTGACTGAGTCGGTGGAGAATCGAGACCTCGATCTGTCCCTGTCGTGCATACGAGGGATGATTCTTGAGTATCTTAATGGCCACGATCTCATTGGTACCCTTTTTCCAGCATTTGGTCACCTGTCCAAAGGTGCCCCTCCCCAGGAACTCCAACACCTCGTAGTGGTTGGAGCCGGACTGGAGCACCTCATGCTGGACGAGCTGGTAGTCGCCCTCACTGTTGGAGGAACTGGTCTTCGAGGTGGTGGGCGCCGTGATTGCGGATGACGTCGACGACTGCACACCTAATAAATGATTACTGTTTCGCGTATGAGTCGAGTCGAGTCCCGGGGGGCGACGCGATGATGAGATGTGAGCTTTGTTTCGGTTAACGAGTCCTGTCGGTCGAGAACTGGAGCTATGAGTGACTGCACCGGTACTCGCATTCTCCAAATCACTCAATTTGCGTTTAGTAGTACTGCAACGCTGCTGTAATCATACAAAACTGTCAGTCCATGTATACATACATACAGTACACACACACACTGTCTCTACTATTGTCTCTCCAATAAATCAACATTTTCTCACTTTTTCCTTAACCAACGCTCACTTTCCTTAAACTCATTTCTAAACTCAATAACACTTTTATGAAATCAATTACTGTGTAAAATTCAAGTTAAAAGGCTGAGAGAGTTTGGGAAAATTGTATAAACTATACAAAACACAATAAAAGGACTTTCTTATCAAATTGGAGAACAATTTTCACCGATATTCACGACATTAGAGTTGACATAGAATTACAATAAATAATTTAAGTACAAGACATTGAAGGCTGTAATGAATAACGTTTACATGAATTAAACTTGAATTACAATAAATAAAAACAATTTTCAAGTATTAAATGAAAAATCAATAAGAGAGACAGTAACAGGTGGCGAGTGGTGTAGCAGTGGGACGGGTGGACAGTATGTAATTGGGTAATACCTGATAGCTGTCCAACAGCTTTATAGTGGAGGCGCGTACAAAGTTATGATGGCTGCCAGTCTGCGGCACACTTTGCTGGATGTGTTTCGGTGATGAGGGTATGGATGAGTGACCATTATATGAAGAGTTAGTGTCAAAACTGGTCAGTCCTAACACGTGAACACTGTCTGAGAGGTGATGTCGCGATGAGCTGGTGGTAGAAGATATGTCTCCCACTTGATTGGCATTATATTCACTGTTTAAGTCTCCGATTACGTGACCAATGCGTCTCTTCTTGTGGTAATATGAGGACAGACTTGTTGTGGCCGTCGATGAATGGTTTGTCAGCGATGTTGTCGTCAAACTGTGGTTATTATCATATAATGTACCCGAATATGAGTCGCCCTTTTCAAGCATTCCAACCAAAAACACCCTTCAATTCAATGAAAACACTATTTATTATACTTTGATTCAAAGCACAGATTTTAATGTGAAGTTAAGGCACACAAGCAGTGGACTGATTGTCATATCAAAGTGAATGTCTCTCAACGGGAGAACAAAAATATGCGAAACGAGGAAACTATAAGGACTCAGGAGTTATAGACCACAACACAGACACTGAGAGATTCGTCTATTCTGTGGATCGGAGCGAATAGTGAGCCCACTATCGCACCAAACAGAGAGCCAGAGCCAGACTTCCCCTTCAATCGCAACAACATTTGACATATAGTTAGGTTGAGTCACAGTATAGTGTAGTATTTGACGCACACATACATCTGGAAAGACGAAACCCAGACTCGGCTTACGTTGAATGCAATCACTTATTCAGTGACTGCGGCCCACAATGAGAAGAGATGAGAGGTTTAGTGCAAATAATAGCGCCGTTCGTATGCCTCGTAGCGAATGGTAAACGTAATCCTCGACTAACTTAATAGCGAACCGAAGGACAACTTGTTTCACTTCAACCCAATCCACACTTCTATCGCAATCTCATACTTCGCATAATAGCTAACATTTTCACTCATTTCTCTCTAATTACTACTACAAGTGAACGCAAATATAAGCGACAATTCAATATCTTATGAAACAATTGCGTTGCCTTCGAGTGAATTGTGTTTTTAAAGGGATAATCAATTGTGAACTTCAAGTCTAGACGCCGTTGTAGTGAAACGTATATCTGGATTGTCTCCATCACTACAGCACTATATTTATCATTGCTTTTATGGCATCAAAATCAATGACAGAAATGGACTCAAATGGAGTTCACAATACAAGACAATTGAAAAATCTATTATTTTGATCATACATTTCAACCCCAAACCCATCACATACTAGTAATACACCCAAAAATGCCTTTTAAACATGAATTCAACATTTTTATGTAAGACTAATGCTTTCCACAAAATTTACTGCAAATTTCTCGGACGAAAGTCTAATTCAAAAATAAGTCAATTATGATTTCAGTCATTTCCCACTTTTATAATTCAGAGATAAAAATGATTTTCTCGAGAGATTAAAGACCGTACTTTAAAAACGCTTTAGAAATATCAAACATATTATTAATAAGCATTTTTCAATGAAGGCTCAATGAAAACAGCGATTAAACTAACGATTTGCTTGCTTTGACTCAATAAACATAAAAAGGTTTTTTGTTTTAATAATGTGTGACTAGAATTAGGTTTGTATTACTTTCGTTCACCCAATGTATCGATTTATGACAACATTTGCATTTCATACACAAATACAAGCCTTTTATACATAAGGCATCAGTTAATACTTCTATTAATAATTATTGTAAGCAATTATAATATTTCGGTTAACACGTTATCTGTAAAATAATTGTCAAAAAACTAGCGAATAATACAAATATCATCTAATGATTGGCTTTATTTGGTATAAAAAGCAGACAAAGGGCTGGAGTTTTGTAGAAATGATTGCATAATTGTATAATGGATTCAATGAAGTGCTCAATAAATGAAAAACTAAAGAAAAAGCAAACAATACGAGTGGAAATGAATGACATATCGTCTAAATGTTGGGTCAAATCAAATACAAAGAGTGGTTTGAGGAATGATAGCATAATGAGAGGTAACCATTGGAACCATTGCTATTAAAGAAAAAGCAAACAATACGAGTGGAAATGAATGACATATCGTCTAAATGTTGGGTCAAATCAAATACAAAGAGTGGTTTGAGGAATGATAGCATAATGAGAGGTAACCATTGGAACCATTGCTATCAAGTGGTGTATTAATACAAAATGCAATACAAAATGCAATACAGAGGCGAATGAAGAGCACCGACACGTGTAGAGCACTAAAACAGGTCATAAATACTGAATACTGGGCTCTTATTATACAAATGCATGAGTGAATGGGCAAAGAATCTGCTTTCAAATCAATTCTTTGCATTGCATTGAGACTAACGAATAGACGACTAAAGCATTCGTTCATTAATNTAAATACTGAATACTGGGCTCTTATTATACAAATGCATGAGTGAATGGGCAAAGAATCTGCTTTCAAATCAATTCTTTGCATTGCATTGAGACTAACGAATAGACGACTAAAGCATTCGTTCATTAATTTCCTTAATTTTGGTTCACAATAAATGTATTCAAATCATTATACCGTACATTACGACAAAACAGTGTTAACTGATCTAGCATTGGGACTACGGTATGAAATAAATACAACAGAATAATAAAATATAAGCAATTTATGGATATCTTATAACAAGTATCGGGGGAAATATTGTTTGAATAGTAGATGTGGTGGCAGTGGTCGACGTCTGAGCCCTGCATCACAACCATCACAACAGGCAATCAGAGGAACTGTAGACAAGTTTTTATATAATCGTGCGAAGAGTCGGCTCTAACACTCGTATCAACACAAATACAGACAGAGGGAGAGGGAGAGAGAGAGAGAGAGAGAGATTGTTTGGCAGTTAATGTACTTTAATGACAGCACAAGTGAGCAAAAGTCACACAACAACAGAGCCCACACCTCTTCCCCAATACATACCACTATTATATGAACTAAATATACGAGCCGTGCATTCAATATATCGGTTGAGTCTATGAAAGCAGACATTAAGTGGCATCAAATATATCGACAAATAAACTAAACGCCATTTTCGGTTAAATGCTCGTCAATTGATCGCGAAAAGCAAATGAGACCTAAAACTAATTGTGAATCTAATGGGCGTCTCATTAGACATGACAACAGGTGAAGAGTAATGAATGTGTTGTTTGTTAGACTCAATCCAAACTTAATTATTACTTATGGTAGACATTGACTCAAAACCTATTCTTATGAATCGTTTGTAAAAATGAAACAAATATTCATCTGCTCTTAGATTCTCTAATAAACAATGAGGTTATGGTAAATGTGAGCCCAAACAGTATGTGTCACTCGAGGGTTGGGTCGCGCAAGAGATTAGGCGAAACAAGTGGCAAAAACTGCAAAACAAGTCAAAAAGGGTCGAAAAACTCGGTCTACTGTTCAGCGGATATCGTGTTGAGCCGAATAGTGGACGCCTTTCCACCAATTCATACAACTATGACATCCGTTACCAATACTATCGCTAAAACAGCATTCATTTGAATGCATGGAAACCATAAATAAGAGATGTTTGCGAATAAGACTCGTATGAATAAACATAATTTTCAAAGAAACTGTATAACTATTGCTCAATGAGTCTACAAATTAATGTTTACAACAAAAATCTAACGAATGAAAGAATGGCTACAAAAAATAAGTTTAATTACAAACCTATTATTCATTAAACTTTTTAAAATGATTAATAAATTCAATACAATTATATTTTCTACAGTAATCTGGTGCTGAGTACGAGATAAAAGACAAACAATTCATTAAATATGATTAAATAAATGGAAAATAAAATACATTATAGTAACTGTACATATTTTGCTCACTTATAAAATAATTGAAAATTTAAACAAATGATTGAATTTATATAAAAAGATAGAAAAACTATTTTATCGCCGCATAAAAGGAGAGATAAAACATTAACTAAATTTCTAAACAATACAACGAAAAAATAGTATAAATTATATTTTAAGCAAAAGAGATTTGGATAATGTTTAGCAAAACTGTATAAAAGAAACGAGGCTTTAATGGCATGAATGAGAGCAACACATCCAAGACATATACGGATAGATAAGATTGCATTTGCAGACAAATCACTTGTAAATAGCATTAAAGGCATGAAATCAATAATTCATTGCAAGTGTTCACAAAAATTAATGATTGAATTCAATACAGACTTTAAACACAAACACAATGAGAGGTGAACTCAGACGTCCGAAATTCACTGAAATTTCGGAGATATAAGTAATTTGGTGTCAATTATTGATGTGTTGTGTCGAGAATTCATTTTATTGATACATTGTTTGAATAAAACAATAAAAGAAATATATTTTTCATGTGAATAACAGATCGTTGAGTGTTTCTGATATACGTTAATTGCATTGATTTTTATATCAAATGTTTTCATTTAAATGTTGCAGTCATTTGAGATGAAAACAGTTAGTAAAGTAGATATGAATTAAATAGAAAACAAAAAAAACATTCATTTATATTGCAATCAAATCTACTTGAGCACAAAACGACAGCAAAAACAAACACATTTGAGATTTAAACCTACGGTTTCGCTATGAAATGTACGGCAAAAGACAAATGCCTTTTAAATCATAAGACATGAGAGACAATCACTTGAATAGTCGATGGAAAATATGTGCCATTTATTGATACAGCAATAGATACACAAAACACATTTTGATGAATGCAAACAAACCTTTAAATTTGTTTTCATCAATGATTTACTGATGAAATGATGGCATTATGTGTTCAAACAAACGCTTGTCTTTCGTGGGATCTGATGGTGAGATAACGTGGAGACCAATGAAGACAAGAGATTGTGAATCAATGAAATGCGTGGAGAATAGGACCACAAATGATGCGAAATATGGACGAAATGACTGCAAAGACAGGACACGAAAGGCATGAAAAATACGGCAAAAACAGTGATAAGACAAATGGACTCACGTTTGGATTGAATGGCAAAATGGGTGACAATTGTATTGAATGTAGCGTTCAATTGAGTGGTGAATGTGTTGAATGGGTTTGAATTGATAGACAAATAATTGACACAAATATGTGAAACAAAACTATATTTCAATGAATTGAAGGCTCAGTTGAGGTCCGATTGCGTCGACATTGCCTGCAATGAGTGCACACTTCTTGTGTCCACCAAATCATCAGCAAATGATCACCAATTGATCACCAATTGATCACCAATTGATCCCCAGATGTGTCCGACAAACACACCGAACCCGAGCTTATAGTCTGGTATCTGGTCTCACCAATAATGCCATTCAACAGCACTGGTAGTCA